ATACAACCCTAATTTTGAGGATAGCAAAGAAAGATGAAAATCATTGCTTGGAGAAGACATTTCAAAGACCTCCAAAATAAAACTGGAAAAATCCCCAATAAAAAGATTTGGCAGGAAAAATCATGTCATGGCCTCTAATTCTCAACAGACCTTAACAAGATGTTCATGAGCCAAAGACTCATGTCTGCAGAAGACAAAAGACAGGAAACAATACAGTCTAGAGAAGGATTATCATTAAGAGGCAAGAGAATGATAAAACAGAGTCCTTAAACTTACAATTAGAAACTCCTAAAAAGAATAACCAGAAATGTGCTAAAAATGTCACAATAACTGTTACATCTTTCTGCTCTTAGGAAATTAATATTTAGTTTAGGCCTGGGCAATATTTATAAAACTTTTTTATGGATGCTTTATCCCCCACCTGACTAGACACCCCTGCCACCAAACCCACTCCCTGGCACAGATGGCTAGGACATTTGCTTTTTCAAATACTCCATATTTCCACAGCCACCCACCAGACAAAAATTAGCTTACCAGTGCTTGTGTAAACTTTACAATCTCTGACACAATAAGATTCCAGAAAATGTATGTGCATGACTAAAAGTAGCATTATACATAATGCACTGTAATTCCAACAGACAAGTTGCTATCTTCTTAGATATACACATTTTCCATGCCAAACATATGAACGTCAATACATTTTTCTCAAGTTAAAATGGAAACCATTTAACAGATATAATGGGCACAATGACTTTCATTTTACACTACTAATGCAGGAGAGAAAGAGAGAAGCTCTGGCAAGGATTACAATGAGATGAAAACAAACAAACAAACAAAAAACCCACAAAAAATAGGAAACAACTGAGAGTTATCATTGCTGTCCAAGCTATTGTCTCAAAGCATGGTCATAGAACCCAAAGGTCACTGAGATAACATATGATCAGAAGTCTAATTTTACATGATCAAATTTCTACTGAGGAGAAAAAAATTGAAAATTGACAGAATAGTAGTTGTGGTTTTGCAAAAAGATCAAGAGAGTGTCACTATGTGTTTTTTCTTCATTCCTGATAAAATGTTATCATGGATAACTTAATTTTAGGGGAGACTAATTAAATGATTATATAAAAAAGAGTTAGGGAGATAATCCATAAGCCCAAATCCTCAGCCTCTGCTTTCACCACTTGAAATATACATTCACCAACTGCCCTCTCTATTACTCTTACAAAAGTGTCAAAAACAGCAGCATATGTCATTGGTCTTTCCCACATCTAAGATAGACACTTCACTCATTGCACTTTGAAGAATCTTTTTCTTTTGGTGTTATCTACTAGATTTAGGTAATAAATTTAAAGCCCTAAACAAATGTATTTTTGTTTGTTTTTTGAGCACAGGGTTATTGGAATCAAACAGACCTCAATTCTTAGCCCATTTCTACTACTTATGAAGTGAGTGAACTTGAGCAAATAACTATCAGAGTTTCAGTTTCTCTGTCTGCAAAATTGGTATAATAAAAATAAAGGGCTTAACAATTAATTCCTAATGTAAAGTTCATTACATTTTAGCTATAGTTAGTCTTTCCATTATATTTACAGAGTGGATATAAACATCTTTAGTACTAGGCTCCATAACAATTGGTGAGAGTATCTCAACATGTAAATGCATGTATACTAAAGACTTTAGAAACCACTTGGAGGAAGGGTAGGAGACTCTCTTCATTATGTTTATCATGACTTACAGCAATGATTTCCATTTGTGTGAAATTTCCATTTATTTTTCCTCTTAGAAAACAAAACTCATCTCTACCTAGTAAAGTTTTAAAATTGGAAATATGACAATATTTAGGAAGATCATACCTAGCCATTCTCTCAAAATGTCTCCACTCCCAGCAACTGATGACTGTTTTGGCTAATGCGCCATATGTGGTGCATCCCACCTAATTACAGAAGTCAGATCCCCATAGTCAGTCCCATGCCTAAAAATGCCGTGGCAGCCAGTTGGTGTAAAAAATGGTGGACATGAAAAAGGTAAGAACATCTTTGACTGTTAAAGGTCAAGATGAGTCAGTAAACTATTAACCTGGATCATTTTTCAAATAAGTTGACTTTTTGGGGAAATATTCAATTTTTCAAACTGCTTATCAAAATCCTAACTCTGTCATCTTACAAGCCTGTATTACTAAAATTTTAAGAAGACCACTTAATATTTTATTTAAGTATTCAAAGATTTCATTTATTTCTTTTTAGAGAAGGGAAGGGAGGGAGAAAGAGAGGGAGAGAAACATCGATTTGTGGTTAACTCTTGTGTGCCCACTACTGGGGATCTGGCCCACAACCCAGGCATGTGCCCTAGGCTGGGAATCCAACCAGAGACCCTGTGGTTGCAGGCCAGTTCTTGATCCACTGAGCCCCATTAGCCAAAGTGCCACTTAGTATTTGAATTGTTAAATTACAGTGACATTCCCTAGAGCCTAAAAATAATTCAAAATTTAGCTTGTTTCTGTCCTCTTATACAGAATAAACTTTTCAAAATGAGGGGCTTTTCAGGTGTACCATGTTTAGCCAGATGAAAAATAAACTGGATCAGCACAATAGTTAGCAATGGAAAGAGAAACAGATTAAGTACTTATAATTAAAGCTTGAGGAATGAAACACTTCACACTTTCTTAGAGCTATTATTTCAGACAGTCTGGTGTCAGAATTAAAAGCCAACCAGCGCATCTGTTTATATTGCCAAGGATTTTCACAGAAGAAGGGCTAGGAAACACATATTTTTTAATTAGGGTCCAAATTCCAAAGAACACCAAAAAATAGTATATAAAAAATATATGTTCTTGTGATTTGTATTGTCCAATGCCCAAAGACAAAAATTATGTTTTTTACTTCTTCACAGAAACAAGTGAAAAAAAAAAAGAAGTAATTCTGTTGTTTTGGCCACCGACTCTTTTTTTATTGTTGTTGTTATCCTACTTGCTTCTGGCTTAGCTACTGCTTTTCTTTCCCAGGATGAAATAATATAGGAAAAGCTGATTAGGAAGGCTTGATTCACACAGAGGGTTCACCAGACAGGCTCAGCTGTCAAGCCTCAAAAGCTAAACTACAATGGCCATCTAAGGTGACCATTTTATACTTTAAAAGCACATCTCCTATTTTAAAAATTTGAGTTAACTCTGCTTGTTTTAAGCTTTGATTTAAAGGAAACTCTTCTTTAAAATCCATGCTGATAATATAGGACATTGTAGTACTCAAATATTTTATTAACCAATTTTTACTTTTCATCTGCAAAATCAGAGATATGTTCTACAATTTCAAAGATCACTTTTATGTTCAGTTGAAAAAATAAAAACATAGTATTCTCTAAACAAAAGCAAATAGACTTTGTTCCTTAATAATTTATTCAAGAAACATTTATCAATCATCTACTATTTGCCAGACTCTGGGCTTGTTGTTGGGGAATACTGAGTTGAATCACCACATCTAGCATATAATGATAATATGGGGATAAAATCTCTACTAGGGGAAGTACAGTGTCCTAGCAAAGTACTTACCAAGAGAAGAGTAGAAGAATAGACTTGAGAGATGATCGGTCTTTAGGTTTTTTATTTAATGGCAAAGGAAAGGAGAATGTAGAAAGTCTGAGCTCTATAATCACAGAGCTCTTTAGTGAAAAAAAAATTGGTAAGCCTAGAGTTCATGTATCCAAATTCAAATCTCATCCCTCTAAATAGCAATGTACTTCTTCCCATAAAATAATTGTTTTTTTCTCCCAAAACAATAATCAGCAAGCCATGATGTCAAGAAAGTTGACTAAGAGTTAGAAACAAAACATAAAGCCAATATTTATTCCAATTACAAGACATTATAAATGGTGGAGAAGGAGGTTTTAGAAGTCAAACCCAACTGAATTCTAATCTTGAATCTACTATACCTAACCAGCTAGGTGATGTTAGACAAAAATGGAATGCTAACAATCATTTGGATTATTAAAAATCTTTTAATTAGGATAACAATATCTATATGACAGGTGTAAATTTCATGAAATAGTTTAATTAAGTAGGTACTCAATAAATATAAGTTCCTGTTTCTTCTTCTCTCTGGTATAAATTAAATAGAACTGATGAAAGGCCATTTCAGCAAAAAAAAAATCACATCTCAGCTTTTTTATTTCTCACCATTCATTTTAGCATGAGATCAAGCTTCTGACTTTAAACCATTTTTATAGATCATTTTTGGCATACCTTGACAATATTAAACATTTCCACTCTGAAAATTTTGGTGTTAAAAATCAGAGGCTAAACAATTAAATTTAGAGAATTTCTTTCTTTTTTAAGAGGATTTCATCAGCATACCTCCTCTGAGAGGAGATAGGAAGTATAAAGAATCAGAAGAAATATTTAAAAGTAATTAAACCTCCTATATAATTCTGCAAGTGTCCTTCCATTATAGGTCATAGAAACCCAACTAATTTAGGTAAAGAGAATTTGTAGATTCTCTTATCAAGGATGTACAGGAGTAGACAAGCTTTAGGAGCAAGTAAATCCAGGTACCTAAATGATGGATTTAGAACTCTGCCTTTACCTTATCTACTCAGCTCTTTGGCCCCTGATTTTGACTTATTCTCAGATTTTTACACATGCAGGAAAGATGGTTTCTGTCAGCCACAAGCCTACATCTTTTTCCTACCTCACAAATAAGGAGATAGTCATCTCAGCATGCTAATTTCAAGTCTCAGGGAACACCTCAACTGCTACTACCTGACTCCCATACCATTACACACACAGAGACACACAAAGAAATACCTTGGTAGAAAATAGAGGACTCAGGATACCATGTTTCTATGTGTGGAGCATTGTGGGTAAGGTCATTCCCACAATGACTACATCGATGAGGTCCTCCACTAGTAGGTGGGATTCTGGTTCCTGAAAAAAGTGGGTAAAGGATCCTAGAAAGGCAAAACAAATAATCAATATCTGCACAAATAATTCTTAATTTCCCTTATTTCAGGATTTCTCAGTTCAATACAAAATCCTCTTGAAGATCCTGGTAGATACATTTCTATTTCTTTGTAATAGCCTCCTTTATTGATTGATGGGCACTGTTGGTACAATATGGTAACAGAAGAAGTTCACCCTTGTCCAGGCCCACAAAACAGCTACCAGAGAACTGCCACACAGGCATTAAATACCTGTTATCCAGGGCATATTGAAATATGTTTTTACCTTGAAAGTGTTTATCACTTATTTTTGCATACATGTTAGATAAAGAAAGGTTAAAAATCATGTATTCATTTATGCAATAGGTGGAGTCACAGTTTACAGTATGTAGGAGCCTATGTTAAGCTCTGTGGGAATACAAAATTCTCCCTCTCCATTCTCAAAGGATTGGAGAAGAAGAGTGAGAGGTGTGAGAAATTACTTTAAGCTGGAGTTGACACAGAGGGCTCCATGTATAAGTTACCATTTGAGCTAGGTTTTGGAGGATACGTACAACAGAAATTTCACTGTTAAGAAATAGAAGAACAGCCCAAATAGGCAAGTTTGAAATATTTCTCATGATGTAGTTAAATGATTATACATATGAGAGGGATAGGAAACAAATAGCAAGGTAGTTCCTAAGCATTCATCAATAGGAGTCTGCCTAATGCATTGTGCTGCTTCTTCTGTACAAGGCAACACCTCGTGGTAGCTCTTGAAACAGTAAGGTCTACGCCAAACACCCTCCCAGTCATTCTAATGAGGGAAATCAGTTCTACATTAGGAAGTATAATATGGCCCATTTTCACAAAGTAAAAACTGAACATGCACATGTTCATGAATGTAAATAAGAGGTCTGGAAAAAAGTTATCTCAAAATGATACCAGTAAGCAATGGTGGTGAGTGGGATTTGCTTTTTGTTTTACATACTTCTGATTGCTGAGCTATCATTTTTTACAAGAGAAATGTATTTACACATTTCTTGCTTAATAAATAAGTATTGTTTAAATAAAAGAAAGTTTTCTGTTAAAATGACAGTCAAATTACTAGCAGGATAGGGGTGTGATCTTTTAAAAATTAATATTATTATTATTTTTGCTTTTTCTTGGGGCAGGTAGCTAATACCTTACCCATTAGGAAAAATAAGATTTTGCAGGTGGGATTAATTTAGAACAAATGAAAAATAGGCAGATAGAACTCTTTGGAGGTTATTACATATATGTGTATATACATACATACATATGTTATACATACATGTAAGCAAATAAATGCATTAAACACACATATTTTTATATAATAGGTTATTCCAAATATGCATGTATAATACTACATATCAGAGTGAATACACAATTGATATTTATATAAATAAATATTAATAGAGGGAAAGAAAACTAGTTCTTCTTTAAGTGTAGGGAAGTTGAGACACCAAAGAGAAGTCATGAGGCTGGTCTTTTGAGAAGTGTCTTAGGGCAGCAAATCTGGATCTGGAGGTTACAAAGAGCTCAGTCTGATTTCAGGTTAGATTTGGCAATCATTTACATGAAGAAGATAGTTGAAAACATAAATGAGGTCAGAAGCTCATCAGAGCTTAAATGAAGTCAGCAAGGAAAAGAGTGAAGAGAGCTGAAGCAGAGACTTTTGAAAGAATTATCCATTAAGAGAAGGGAAACAATGCATTCACTCATTCATTTAAAACTAATATTTTCAAGACCCCTAGGCCTATCATTGCAGGTTTTGAGGACAGAATGGAATGGCAGAAAAAAAAGACATGGTTACTGCCCATAGAGAGCTTGTATCCATAGGAATGCAAATGTCTATTAACATTAACTGAGCATTTATTGCCTTTTCAATGTATTTAAGTATCACATACTTAAGATATGAACAATAGTGTCCCCATCTTCTTTCTATGAAAAAAGAATTGAGGCTGAGTGAGGAAAGAACAATACTGTCCCCATCTTCTTTCTATGAAAAAAGAATTGAGGCTGAATGAGGAAAGTGATTTCTCCTGAGTCACACAGCTCTGAAGTAACAGGGACTGAATTTGAGCCCCAGGCTTATCTGCCAGCACAACTCATAAATACTTGTAATACTGCCTTCTGAAAAGTGGTTATCCAAAGGGTCATGAAAGAAACATCAGAACAAGAGAAAAAACAGAATTCTACATTAAAGTAACCAGGGACAGTCATGGGCATGACTAATCATGTACCAAGAATGAGGGAAACTGATTAAAGATCATTGATTTGGTGATTACAAAGACATGTATTCATTTTTTTATTTACTCAACAAATACATATTTGTTATACTAGTATATAGTACTACATAATCTTTGGAAGATCAGTTGTGTGTGTGTGTTTGTGTGTGTGTGTGTGTGTAGGGGGATAGAAGCCAATTGTGAAGAATTAAGTAATGGGTAAATAATGAAATAGTATGTATTACAGACTCTTGTGAGGAACTGGGTGATGAAAAAATTTGCACAAAAATTTTAGGCTACGGTACACCTAAACCTGCATATAGAAGGACGAAGTACTCAGTAGAGTGAGACTGAAAATACAGGGAAAGAGAATGATGGTGGCTAAAGATACCTCTTGTGGCTGGTGAAAGAGATAGGGATGCAAACTCTTGATGCAGAGGATCATCTTTAATAGAAGGAAGTCCTTCTCCCCCAGTAGAAAATAGAAGAAAATTTACAGGGACAGAGACATTTTGCAGTAAAAGCAACCATAGGAAACTGTACAAGTAAGACTTTATTTGTACCCTTTTGGACAATGTTTCACATCCCTGGGTTCACATTAGAATCATTGTGGCAATTGTTGCAAGTTGCAGTGCTCAAGTTGCACTCCAGGACAATTAAATTTTTAATAAAAATTCAGATTTCTGCCCTGGTTGGCATAGCTCAGTGGATTGAGCTCGGGCTGCGAACCAAAGTGTCGCAGGTCTGATTCCCGGTCAGGGTACATGCCTGGGTTGCAGGCCATGACCCCCAGCAATCGCACATTGATGTTTCTCTCTCTCTCTCTTTCTCCCTCCCTTCCCTCTCTAAAAATAAATACATAAAATCTTTAAAAAAATTCATATTTCTTCAACCTGAGGATGTCCACAGCAGGCTTTAAAGAGATCTGATTGACTAGGTAGGAAAATGGGAAGACATTATATGTGAGAAGAACTTGGACAAAATCTAAAAACCTTAGAAACAATAAAGAAATTAATTTGATTACAAAAAGGAAACAAGGAAGAAATAGGGAAGAAAATAGAAATGCTAGTCTGTGGGAAGATCAGAAAGGATGCTGATAAATTTCCAAAATGCTGCAGAATAGATACATGTGCATCCCATTGCTTATGACCAGAAGCTGTACCAAGTGCAGGGATCTTTTCAGTATTGTTCACTTTAGTATTTCCCTTCAGAGTTCATGGTGAAGACATTGTAAAGTTAGTAGATACTCAATAAACATTAGTTGAATAAATAACAAATGAACAAATGCATAATTCATATGTCAGCCTAGCCCTCTCTTCATGTGCCTAGCATCCTTGAGAAAAGTGGAATTGTCTCATACCCAATTCCAAGTCACCCATTGACAATACTTTTACACAACTTACTCAGATCTATCTGAGGCTTCAGCTGACTTTTATCTCTTTATTATTTTTCTTAATACCATCAATAATAGATTGTGTATAATACATTTTTACTAAAATTTGACAAAAGTCAGACAGCAATAAGGAGAAGGGCTTCATCATCCCAGCATCAGTTAGCAAGTGGTTTAAAATTAAATATTAGATAGCCATATTGTTAACTGTGCCACTTAGCCATTTTCCTTGGCCATTACTCCATGCAAAGACTTTATGACCTACCATCATGCTATGCTCCTATTTCCTTTGAGATTCATCAGTACTACCCAAACCACAGGTTTCTGCTTTTCCTTATGTGCAGCAATTTCACTATGACTATCTCCTATGCTGGGGCTTGGGGAAAATTCAGTTCCAGTACCCAGTTTCCAAGAAAAGTATACTATCCCTTTTTTGACCCCAAATTTATAGCCAATTATTATTATAACTGTGAATTTTTTTTTCTGTCTCTCTACACAAAAGAATGAATCACTCAGAGAGACAACTGGACAATCTCTGACCCAATAATAACAAATGAAGTTTGCATGAGGGAATAAACACTCATTAGAAGTCTACAAAGCAATATGTATTCACATTATTATTGTGTATAATTGATGTCATTGTCTTATAATGTCATCACTGAATCCACTTACATGAGGGGTGTTATGAATACAGTGGACACTCAAGACATGTGCACTCATCATGAGGGTAGAGGGTGAAGAGGAGATGCTCTCTGAGATTTTATACCTTATAATAATAGTGGTAATAATAGCTACTTTGTATGTGCAAAGCCATTTAAAAGCATTAACATTTCACATGGTGTATATCCTCAGAAGCAGATCACCATTTATTCTTTCCAGTGTGTTGACTACATACAGTCAGGACACCTCCGGGCAAGGGCATCGCTGGGCCAGTGTCAGCTCAGGATCTTGGCAGTCACATCCCCAGTTCATTATGTCAAAATAATAAAGTGACCCTGACCAGCTGAACGTATTCATTAATGGTTAGGGGAGAAGTGGGAAGGAGCAGACAGTAAGGTTTGGGGAGCTTACAGTGTTAAATAGCTGTCAAGAGAACAGGACTATTATTTGGTGTAGCATCATTTTCAGAAGGGAAGTGGACCCACAGAAAGACACATGCATATGCACATACACACACACATCACGGCAGGCCTGCCTGTTTAGTCCTTCCAAAAGAGAATTTATTTGTGTTACCCCTGGTTCAAGTAATCTCATTGCCACTAAGGGAGAGTAGTAGGGACTCTCTCACTCTCACTCTCTCTGTGCTTAGAGTATGTTTCACTGATTAAACAAATCAACCTTAATTCATAACTAACTAGAAAAGGACTCTGAAAGGTTTGGTTAAGCAGTGTCCAAATGACCATAGTCTGTTCTCAGAGTCCATTAAGAGGCAATCATCCAGGATGGCTGGTCCAATGGTAGCGGATTATCAGAGCTCAACTAAAGATGC